CTTTTTGGAGTATTGTATTTTTTCCATATTCTATCTCAGTTTATCCATTATGATTTTCACTGTATTTCTTTGTGCAATTCTTTTAGCGGATGCCCTAGGAATCACAAAATACATACTTAACTTTTCACAGATACTTAAAATCAGTATCTTACCACTTTAATTGGAATGTAGTAATAATAGTACCAACATATAGGTCCCTTTACCCCTTCCTATGATTGTTGTTATATATTACATTTATACAAATTAAAAACCCCACCAGCAGACATTATAATTTATTTAAATTGTCAAACATGTTTTAAAGAACTCAAGAGGAGAATAGTCTGTTATAGTCACTCAGGTATTTATTATTTCTGATCCTCTTCCTTCAGCCCTGATATTTCAAGTTTCCTTCTGGTATCATTTCCCTCTGCCTAAAGATATTTAGCAATTCTTTTAGAGTATGTGTACTGGCTATAAACTCTCTTAGGTTTTTGTTTTATTTTTTAAATCTAAGAATGGCTTTATTTCAGTTTCATTCCTAAAGAATATTTTCTCTAAATACAGAATTCTGGTTGACAGTTCTTTTCTTTCACCACTTTAAAAATGCTATACCAGGGAGAAACAACAACAACAAAATGCTGTACCACGTCCTCCCGGAATCCATGGTTTCTGGTGAGATATCTGCAGTCCTTTGAATGACCAATCACCTCCAGGTAATGAATAATTTTCTCTGGCTGCTTTCACAATTTTTTCTTTGTGTTTAGTTTTCAGAAGTTTACAATGTGTCCAGGTATAGATTTCTTTGGCTTTATCCTATTGAAATTCACTCAACTTCTTGAATGTGTAGGTTTATGTCTTTCACCAAACTTGGGAAGTTTTCAGCATTATTTCTTCAATATTTTTTCAGCACTGAATATTTTCTCCTGTACTTCTGGGACTCTAATGACACAAATGCTAGAGTTTTGTTCTTGTTCCACAGGCTCTGTTCTTTTTTTTTGTATCTTTCTAGGTTCTGACTGGATAGTTTCAGGTATTTTGGTTTCCAGTTTTAAACTTTTCATGTCTCTTCTTTGCATCTTCTATTTTTTGTCAATATTTTCTATTTTAACATTTGTTTCAAGAATGTTTCTGATTCCTTGTTCAGGCATTTTTATAGTGGTTGCTTTATAAAGCCTTTGCCAGATCATTCCAACATCTATGTTATCTTGTCATTATCATGTGTTGGCTGTCTTATTCCATGCAAATTGACATTTTTATGGTTGCTAATTTGAGGGGCAATTTTGGATTGCATTGGCTGGATTGAATTAGACTGGATTTTGAATAATATTATGAGATTCTAAGTCTGTTTAAATCTTATGGTGAACGTTGATATTTTTGCTTTAGTAGGCAATCGACCTGGTTAAGTTCAAACTGCAAGTTGCAGTCCACTTTCTATGAGCTGTGGCTACACTGTCAGTTCAGTTATCTACGTCTTTACAGTATTAATCTCATCTGAAACACATGTGTACCACTGAGGGTTGATTTGGAACCTGGATGGGAGTCTATCTATTAGTTCTCCAAGTTTTCTATATGCTAATTAGGATCGGATCCATGCATGCACAGGCTGCGGTGAGCCTAGGAATTCAAAAACAACTTTACAAGGTTGCTTCCCTTACTCCTCCCTTTCTGTGATTTTGCTGGTACTTCCAGGTTCCCTGGGACTCCCCTTACAGAACCTCTGAAGAAACCATCCACTTCCACAATGTGAGAAGCAGGGCCAATGCGAGAAACAGGGCAGGAGGACAGAGAAAGAAAAAAGGTAATGGGTTTTGGTTCTGAACTTTTTGAGCCCCACCCCATCTCCTAGTTTTGGCTCCCGCTGCCCCTCAGAACTGTGTGGGCTGGGGCACAAGAGAAGGGGGAAAAAATGAAAAAGAAGGAATCTGCCCCCTTCTCTCTGAGCTTTAAGAGTTCCCTTCCTCCCTCAAAAATAAAGGGACATAAAAATTTAAACAAACAAAAACCCAAAAGAAAAAACAAACAAGTAGTTCCCTTCCCTGCTCTGCAAGCTGAAACTACAGGGTATCTCCTGGCACTTCTCTGTCTGCACCTAGCGTGCACTCCCAGTCTTTATGCTGCCGTGAGCTAAGGCCAGGAGACACCAGAGGGAAAACACGTGCTCACCACCAACTTGGTGGTACTTGGAATTCTGGTATGCTTCCCCATCCTCCTTCTACTAATTTCCCAAGTCCTCAAAGACCTGTGCCCTGTATCAATTGGCCCCAGTGTATAGTTAGGTTCAGTGGAGAAAAGGGGTGATGGGGTATGCATGCACCATCTTACCCAGAGCCAGGACTCTCTGCCTAGTCATTTTTTATTATGTGCCGAATATTGTGTTGACAAAATTGCTTGTGCAGGTAATGTGGTGTCCAGAATGGTATTACCTTCCTGTAAAAAGAACCTGTGTGCTTCCACCTGCACACATGGCATTCTGAGGGTGCCTTCATAAAGGCACCATGCACTGAGTAGCTCCTCTCTCTGCCTGGCCTAGTTCTGGGTAGCCCTTCCTTCTCCAGCACAGTACTCCAGCAAGGCCAGCCTCCCAGCCTAGGGCTCGAGGCCCCTTTTTCTCTAGCTGGTGAGCCGCTGAAGCCTCAACACTCAGCCTCTCTGCCTATAGGAACAGAAAATGCCCACGGAAACAGACCAGTACTAGGTTCACCTCCTGAGTCTCCATTCTCCTCTGGACCCCAGACTGGTAACTCTCTAGTCTTCAGAATTCCCAAATACCTTTAAGCAGATGTTCTGTACAATTCATCTAACTTTTCCAGTCATCCTCAGTGAACGGTTAATCCAAATGAACAGACCTGCCATCCCTGTAACTGGCCACCTCTTTTTTCTTTTTTTACAAAGAAACTGTCTCTGAAAGGTTTCCTGAAGTTGGTGCATAGATGAAGAAACTAGGGTTTAACTCCAGGCATGTCCTTTAACCATTAAACCATGCTGAAAATTAGATTTTATAAGGTTCCCCCCCACACACACACAATTACTGGGTGAATGTGTATCAAAATCACAAAGTAATACAAGAGCACATTCTTATTTTAAAATTGAGCCACTGCAGACAGTGCTACTGCTCCCTTGTCTCCTGGTTGGGCCAGGCCCTTTGCCAGAGGTCACCAGGTCTGCGTGTGGCTCTGCTGGGGGTTATTAGGCTGACCTTTTCCCCATGGGAATGCATATCCAAAGGCATAATGTAAGTCACTGGAAACACATGGTACAAATTTAAAAATGATTTACATATATTTTTAAAGAATTTACAGTAGTCCCTCAGCATGGCCTAATGCTGCCAGACCCCCACTGAATGCCTGAAACCACAGACAGTACC